GCCTCCAGGAGACTCCACCTGGCCTCCAGGCACATCCAACTTCCATTGGTCCTACCTGGGCTGCCCACCATAGTTGTGCTTCTTGGGCACCCAAGATATGGTCTCCTCCAGCAGTTCATGGACTCTTGTCCATGGGAAGTGGCCTACTATGCAGCTGGCTACTGAAATAGAGTCCATATGGCTGAAGATCTTTAGAGTTGAGGCAGAGCAATGACTTCCACTGTTTCTCACTGTGTAGTAATCTGCAGGTACAGAATGGCATATCAGCAAACCCAAGTCATCTTGTGGCACCCTCCTAGAAGCCCATAGGAAGTAGTCTGCACTGGAGATGATTGCTCAACCAGTGTTCTGTCCCAAGACTCCGCTGACTGCCTTGATAAAGAGAGACAGACCTGCAGCATTCATGCCACACCAGTGTGCTTTGGCTTATTCACATGTACCTTAACACACTAGTTTGGAATTTGGAAAGAAAACCACCAGAGCTCTTTCATTTGGACCTCACAGTGTTAATCAACTCTAAGAGTTTTGTTTGTTTAGTTGATGTAGTTGTTGATGTTGAAAAACACAAATTCATCAAATATGTAAAAATATGAATTCTGTTGCTGAGAAAGAGCCATGGTCCAAAAGTCACCTCATTAGCACAACAAAAGACATCTATGTTGCTCTCATCATTTAGTAAATCCAAGGGTTTTAGGAACTCTGTGGAAGAAATGTGAACTAAGACTGAATATGTATTTCTTATTATAAATCACAAATATCACATTTGTGAATTCAGTACTTTGTGAATCTATCAGCTATTAGCTCTGGAATAGGATGTTAAGTTTGTGTTTGCGTTTTGCTTGACAAACACTGATCTTCCCATATACTGATTGATATACAAAATTGGAAAGTTGCTGAAAAAAGTGAGAGTGAGAAAAATGCCACAGGGGCCAAGCAACTTTCTGGAAGTAAAAACATAGAGACACCATCTCTTTCATTACCCCTTGTCATGATACACTGAAGTGGCCCCTACTAAATATGGTGGGAGAAGACAGAAAAGGCTTACCAAACAGCAAGGGAAGTGGTGATTGGACTTATGATTGGGTTCAACACCAGGCATAGGTCGTCATGGGATGTGATGGCTCCCTGCACACATCATGGCCCAGGCTAGCAGTGCCCCTTGAACTGAACCTTCTGGAATTGTGAGTGTGTCATGGGGTTCTGTATGGTATGTAAAGAGCAAACAGAGTCAGCCATATACTCAGGTCAATCAACATCTCCTTCCCCTAATCTCTTCGCTAGACTCTGAGACTTCTAGGACTAATCCCATCAAATCTGTTATCTGCTCCCCACTTTTGCACCCCAAAATCTGTCACCTTTAAGCCTATTTGAGTGAAGGACGTCACCATCCATCTATTCTCTCAGGCTATGATGAAACCTTGAAGTCATTGATGATTTCTCTTTCCTTCATATCTCATATTGAATCCATTGAGAAAGTTTGTTTTTCTATCTCCCAAATGTATCTCAAATCCAACCACTTCTCATTATCTTCACTGCCACAATCCCAGACCAGGACTCCATCAATCTTTACATGGACTGGTAAAGACGCCTCCCAACAAGCTATCCCCCACATAGTAACCTAAAAACTTTTAAAAGTATGAGTTACATGACTTCCCTCCCTAACTACAACCCTCTCATTACACTTAGAATAAAATACAGACTCCTTAAAATGGCTTCCAACTTGCTACATAAGCTAGAGTCTACTTACCTCTCTGGCCTCATTTCCTTCCTCTCTGCTCCTTGTTCATCACCAAGCCACGGTGGCTTTTCCCTCCTTGAAGCCTTTGCACTAGATGTGCCTTCTGCTTGGACTGCTCTTCCAGTGTGATCCCAGTGTTGTTTTTTCCTCATCATTTTAGGTCACAACTCAAATGTGATTTACTCAGAGAGGCCTTCTCTAATCTTAATGCTAAAAAAAACAATCTTCTACATGCCAATCATGCTATAACACATTAAACCATCTTATCTTCTTCATAAAATTTATCAGAGACTGAAATTATTTTATTTGCATGTTTGTTTAGTGATTTTTGTTTGTCTCCTCCCAAACTGATGTAAATTCCTTGAAGGCAGGGATTATGTCTATTATTATTATTATTATTATTATATGGCAATCCATATCCATAAGGTTCATAGAAGAGCCTGGCACATGACAGCTTGTTCACTGCTTGATGAACTAACAGTTTTGATATCGAACAATCAACGTCTAGCAGCATTTGTAGAAATCGCAATCACAAGCTTTAAACGTATAATAACTCTGAGCTCAAGATCTAGTAATGAGATAACAGTAGCCACAGAGCGACCACGCTCTCCACTCACCAGGTTTGACACATCACAGCAGAGTCTGATTTCAGCATCCGTACTTGGGCATATCTGAATGTCAGCTCTAGTCAAAAGATAATTCTACTTGGGATTCATTCTTGAGACTGAGCCGTGGGCTGGTCTCCTTTTTCCTTCCTTTCTTCTTTCCTTCCTTCCTCCCTTCCTTTCTCTTTCTTTCCTTTTCTCTCCTTCTTTCTTTTGTTCTTTCTCTCTGTGTCTTTTCTTTCTTTCTTTCTCTTTCTCTCTCTGTCTCCCCCCTCCCTTCTTTCCTTTTTTCTTCCTTTCTTCCTTCTTTCCTTAACTTTCTTGTTGCATAATACACCACAGGAAGAAGGACACCAAGAAAGAAAGAAAAGAGTTCTCTCAATAGGGCTCAATCTATTTAATTGTAAATATTAGAATATATGTGAGTTTTTCCAACTTAATGCAATCACACACAATTTTCCATTTAAAAAATTTTTGTTTTTGTTTAGGACTGAAAAAAATACGTAGTATTTAAAATAAAATTTTAAACTATTTGCAATAGTTATTATAATACTCAATTTGTAACACCATTCTTATAATTACATCAAATACTAGAGTCCTTGTTCATATACATACTATATAGTCATCACAAATACACGTGCACTCTTTCATATTCTATTTTTAACTTGCTCATTTATCAGCCACGGAATATTTATCCAGAGCCCACTGATAAACTAGAAATATCAAGATGTATAAAATACAGTTCTTGTCCTCATAAAGCTCTTATTTAAAATGAGGAAATACATACATACACCTACAAAGCTGAGGCATCCAATAAGTTATTTGGGGTGAGGACACAGCGTAGAAAAGAGAGTAACTAAGTTACTCTGGGCGAGTGTAGGATGGGTTGGGCTCACAGTAGACTTCCCCCAAAGGGAATCCATGACCACCACAGAGTTAATTATTTTAAAAAGTTAAACTGCTACACATACAAAAATATAAGTGAACTTAGCCTTTGGAAAGGGAGTGGTCTCATCCTACCTTTTTCAAACCAACAGATTTTCTTATTGTGCATGGTTACTGCAATTCTATTAAAAACCATAATTTTGCTTTAAAAGCTTAAAAAGAACTCTAAAGCTTATCTCAAAAATTAAGTGGGCAAGAATACCCAAGAAAAAAAACATTTGAAAGGAAGAGTTATTGAAAGCCTTAGTTGAATTGTTGCTTTCTTACTCAACATTCACTCTAGGTGTAAGCCATTAGCATATGATTCTTCTAGCAACTGTAACGGAATCAAAGATGAGTCATCTGTCTGAGCTGAGCAAATTGATCTGACAGACTAAAAGAAAAGACATATTCTATAATTAAGGGAGAAGTTTTCCCTGTATCCCTCCTATAGATGAATGAGTAAGCATTTTTGTTTGTTTTGCTGTGCAATTTTTTTAAATTGTGGTAAAATATACATAAGACAAAAGTTACCATCGTAACCATTTTTAAGGGTACTGTTCAGTAGTGTGAAGTACATTGACACTGTTGTGCAGTCAATCTCCAGAACTCTTTTCATCTTGCAAAACTGAAATTCTATGCCCGTTAAATGACTCCCATTCCATGTCTTGTAGTTCTGGCAACTTAAAAAGGTTTCTAGTTTTATTTATGAAATTTCCCTTATTTATCTATGGCACTAATGTGATCTTACAAAGTGATCCACGACCTCTTTCTTCTCTTGCACACACACTGTAGCAAGAAGGTTAATCCTCAAAGTGTGAAACCTGCTGAGGGACTATCTCACAGCCTACGCTCCATAACCTGCTAGGTTTTCTGACATTCTAATACTAGATACAAGACTGTTAGTTAGTTAGTTATGAGTTACTGTGACTAACTCCTTAAATATTATGAATTCTTTTTTCATTTTTGAGATTTAATGAGGTTCCTCACATCTTAAAACAAGCATACTGACTACAAGGATGATGAATGTATTGTTACTTACTATAGTAAACATTTGTAAGGAAACAAACTGCCCAAAAATAGGTTAGTTTCAGCATCAAAGATTATTAGAAAGGTATAATAACATGAAAATATGTTCAACATATATTGTTGAGTGGGAAATCTGGTTACCAAACATGTAGTTTGATCTCATTTTTATTTTAAAGAATAAAAATATGTATGTTTGAATATATGTATATATGCACGTTTGTATTTTATATATACATCATATACACATGTATGCACACACACATATAGGTAGCATGGGAGAGACAGAGACAGAGACACAGAGACAGAGAGACAGAGAGAAAAATAGAGGGAGACAGAGTGAACTGTATCTCTATCCTTTTCACTCCCAGCTGAATTTGAGCTTCAGGGAAACATGCACTGGAAACTAAAAACTGGAAGAGTACATAATACATTAACTGTGATTGTCTTTGGGAGATGACAGGGCAGGTAATTTTTGCTATTTGCATTTTCTAATTATTTGATTGTTATATAATTACATTACCTTTGTAATCTGTGTACTGTTCTAGGCAAAAAAAAAGTTTTATATTTAAATTTTCAGTCATTTCTACTAAAAGGTATATCAACAAAATATGATTATTTCATCCTTAGCCTACAAATAAAATTCATACCACATTTCCTATCATTATGAAATGAAATTTTGGCAGTCAATAAATAACTTCACCCAATGAATCCTGAATGGTTCACTTTAATTAAGCATTACATGAAAATATGCTACTAAAAAGCAGACATTAAGTATATCTCCTTGAATAATTCTTAAAACATCCTAAATTCAATTCCAAGAATTTAGTTCACACAAGTTCACATTATACAATTACATCTAACATATATGTTTCAAAATGATCGAATCACATGACATTTTAAAGTAAAAAGAATTCAGAGAAGTCTCCAGTTAAGCATTTACATAGCATTTACTATTTTGTCAACGTACCTAGGAAGCAGGAAAGCTTGTAACATCTTTGCTTTGTGTAGAATGGAAGCGTATGGGTTTAAATACTTTTTAATATAACACTGTTGAAATCAGAGCCAAGATTGAATCAGGGAAATTTATTTCCTGTACTACTTTATTCTTGGAAACTATTTTGACTAACATGCAATTTCTCCCATTTTGTGAAATTCCTTTTTTCTACTGTATTTTAGCCCATGACTCAGGATTTAAGAAACTTGAGTATTTCCCCACACCTTAAGTAGGAGAGTAGGTGCCCAACCAGCTTAGATCCGTGGACAGTTATAGAGAAGTCAGTGGGAGAATAAGGGAACATCTGAGAGGATAAAAATCAGCTGAAGTCAATAATGACCACAGTTACAAGAGCCGGGTGAAAGTTTTATCAGATTATCACATTTGTGGATGGTGGGCAGAGCACAACGGGGATGCCCGATGCTTGAGTTCTCATTCTCGATTTCTGATGCTAAGTCGTGTCTGAGCTTGAGCAAGTCAAAGGCTTTGGAAATCAGTTTCTTCAACTAAAAACAGAGTTTGGGGCAGGTTTGTTAAATTATTAAAATTCCTTTCTGATGCAGCGTTCTATCACTTTGAGGTACATACAACTGCGAACAACTATCAGGTCCTGCTTTGGCAACAGTGAAAAATAGCAGATTAGCGCTATTTAAAACAATGAGTAAACTACTCACATTTTCAAATGTGATGCGATACAAACCACTGGAATGTTGTTATCCCTGAACATTTCTTATTTTCTTTCATTAAGAAAACTTCAATCTTCTTTTGATCTAAAATGCCACAGTTTCTTTTCATTTATGTAACACTACTATTTTCTTGGTTATTATGGAACTTAAATTCTGTATAAAATTAATTTTTTTGGTATTAATATTTAAATTTCTAGAGAAATTGTTCTTTTCAGTAATAAAATATTCATTAAATTACTATTTCCTTTACTTTGAAGTGTCAGCATTCTTCAAGTTCAATACAATTTACAAAACTAGAAGTTAAATCTGAAAATCTATAGGTTTTTAGTGTCCTCAATTTGAATTAAAATTCCCTCATACTATAAATTAATGACAACTTAAAGAACAAATGTCTATATTGATATTTCATACATTTTAAGGAAATATGGGGAAATCATAGCCCTTAAACAGAGAAATAGATTCAGAGAATATTATCAGGCTTGATTCTCCCCTTTGGATCCCAGAAAGTGAACAGTACTGTATTGTCACCCAGCTCTCAAAACTCAGTTTCCCTGCCAAAGGGGAAGAGATTTCATTCAATTACATAATTAAAGCAGCACAGGTTGCTGTAAACAGGAAATAAAATACTACTTATCATAGTAAGACAAAAATACCCATTTGAGGGAAATGACTTGTTGGGTCTTTGCAAACACCTCAAATTCCCTTTTCATCCTTTCTCAAAAGCAATGCTAAGAAATAAGTGTTTAGACTTCTTTTCAAGAAGTCTCTAATACAGGCAACCTCTCTATTCTCTTCTGAGTGCTGCAGCCTAGACGGGCCAGAAAAGCAGAGATTTCTTCTCGTATGCTAAAAATGTGTAACATCAAATAACCCCATCATCAACCCCATCTATGTTTACCTTTTTTCACACACATGAAAGTGGGGAAATGTAGGGCTTATGGTGGTAAATAAGTGAAAACAATGAACATTTATCAAGTCATTACTATATGCCATATGCTTTACATTAATTAGCTAATCTCACTCAATTCTCACAAGTAAGAAGTGATAATGGTAAGCCACTAAATACAATAATGTAGAAGAAAATGATCAGAAGTTTAGGTAAATATTTACTGTGAAATTTATGATCTTACATCCCTAAAAGTAGTAGTACTTTCTTCCATTTTTCCTTTTACTTCCCTGGAATTTGAAAATGTCTTTTTAGCTCTGAATAGCTAATCGGATACAATCAGCATTGTGCTTGGCGCTATGGGGGACACACGGATGAATAAGAGAGGCCCTAAATCCCTTGCTGATAATACGTATTGTTGGTAATAATTACAATTTCATGAAGTATTCTAGTGTCGGCAACATGGAAAGGCTTCTAGTTTCATTTATGAAATTTCTATTATTTATCTATAGCACTAAGGTGATCTTACAAAGTGATCCATGACAACTTTCTTGCATACACACTGCAGCAAGAAGGTTAATTTCAGCGTGAAACCTCCTGAGCGACCATCTCAAAGCCTCTGTTTCATGACCTCCTGGGTTTTCTGACATTCTGATACTGGATACAAACTGTATGACTAGCTCCTTAAATAGTATAAATTCTTTTTTCATTTTTTAGATCTCATAAGGTTCACCATCTCTAATAACAAAGGCTATTTCTTTTTTTTTTCCTTTTGGTGAGGAAGACTGTCACTGAGCTAACATCTGTGCCAATCTTCCTCTATTTTATGTGGGATGCCGCCACATCGTGGCTTGATGAGTGGTGCACAGGTCTGAACCCGAGATCTGAACCTGCGAACCCCTGGTCACTGACACAGAGCATGAACTTAACCACTACGCCAGTGGGCTGGCCCCACAAATGGCTATCTCTTAAGGGACAGATAATCTCCAGATAGAAAACATGACTTTAGGATCTGGGAGGTAAAATACGTTTGTAAGGTTGATATAACACAGAGGTCTGGACAGAACTTACAATTCTCTGAGGCCACATGAGAACATGAAAATGCACATATGGATTCTGGAGGGAGACAGACTTAATCAGTTCTAATCTCGACTCAGTCACATGCTAAATATGTGGCAAGTTATTTGATTTCTCTGAGTCTCAGTATTTTTAACCGCAAAATGAGGCTAATGACACCTGCCCTGAATAGTTGTTGTAAAGACGAGAAATAACACTTGTAAAGATCCAGCAGAGAGGATACAAGAGATGCTTAATAGTGACTGTGTATTCTCATCCATCATTGCATTGCAGCATTGGTTAAAGTAACTGTTTTACTCCGAAAGCCCACGTTTGGTCTGTGCTAAACTAGCTGACCAGTTCAAGTATGAGTCCCATTAATACAAGGACATGCAGAGATCAAACAAATAAATGAAGATTCTTTGGATAATGTCTACAAATTACCTTCCCATACAATTGTCTTCTAAATATAAGCTATAAGACTCTGGATTAATTAAGAAGACAAAAATTGCCTTTATCACCTATTTATGGCTTTAGTCTGCAAAATAATAATAGTGATAATGACCTTGACTAATGCGTAAGTATATTACTATCATGAAAAGGATATCTTTTGGTATCACTGAAATAATAAAGTGAGACAATTTAGAAAGACAAATTTCAGAGGTCTGCTCATTATATAGTGCCTATGATTGTCACGTAAGCCTGGAACAGATAAAATATACTCATATATAAAATGTAAGGCAAATTCTTAAATAAAATGCCTCTACAATTAGAGTTCTACTGAACTACTGCCTCAATTGACCAAAATTCTATCTTTCACAGTGCAAATGCAACTGCTTTGAGCTAAAGATCTGTTTTAGAAGAAATATACATGCATACTCCCCAGCAACTATTCATTTTAAAACCTGAAGCTAGATGCATAATTACTCCCCAATTCAATTATTTCTATAATTATGGTACCTAGATGGTTTCCTTTTTATTATTGGGAATAAACATACTTAAATAACATGCACAGCTTAGTGAAAGTGATCATGGATCATCCAACTGTAAGAATTATCAGGACATGATAAAGGTTATATATTAATGGTAAGAGCAATCTGATTATTAGCTTTTCATTTGAGGCAGTTTATCTACAGTTCAAAAAATGCTTTCAGTGATTAAACTCCAAAGCATCTTTTTCACTGTGAGCAGAAGTAGTTGGCATTTAATTAAAATAGACTCCTCTAACGGTAAATAATTAAATGAATAGTTTTAAACCTATGGCTAAAATTGGCAAATTGATAACTAAACGTAAGAATTGGAATTATCAAAACACTTTTGAGAACACAGTTCTGCTTGGAGGGCTCCACGGGGGAAGTGCCTCATTTTCAAGAAAGGAATGACGTTTCTTTTGTTTCCGTTCAATTCTTTCCTGCCTTTCCTTCTTTTCCTAAAGAGAAAAATAGAAAACTATAAATTTATATACATATATGAACATTATTTTCAAATTAAGTTGCATGCTGAAGAATAAAATAATCTATTAGAGGATATTTAAATGTCATTTCCTAGTTTAATTGGTTATAAAGGAACAGCAGCTAGGGAATATGGCTAATTACCAAGTATACTACCAACAGGTATTAATGCACTGCTTAATTTTGTCAATATTAAAAGTGATATTTTAAAATAATTATGTAAAATAGAAACAAAAGACCTATAATTCCACACTGCAACAAAAATAATTATTAGAAGTTAGTGACAACTTTCTGAGAACACATTCTCAGAATTTACTGAATGCAAAGCTTGAACATGCCACAGCAGCACGGGATACTACAAATTCTTTTGCAAATAGTTGAAAATTCAGCTTCCTGTTTCTTTGCTTATTATTGAGCTTGAGCACATTTTCATTACTTTAGCCTTTTTGTGAAGTTTTTGCTCAATTATTTGGCTCATCTAACTGTATGTGTATGAGTGCTTTTACTTTTTAGCAATTTGAGTATTTTCATACAATAAATATTATTTTTGCAGGAAACATTTTATCTATATTACTTTTAGCCCTTAATTTTAAGAATAAAATTAAATATTTCAGCCTAGACAACTGTTCAAAGAGTAATGTAATGAAAACCTGTGCACCCGCTGTCTGACTTATGAAATAAAATATCGCCAACACTTTGGAAGCTCCGCGTCCACTCTCTCATCGCACCTTCCTCTCTCCACCCTACTGAGGTAGCCATTACTCTGAAGTTGATGCTTATCATTGCAGTGCATCTCTTAATACTTTAGCTACACATGTATTCATCCTCAAACCACAAATAATTTTGTTTTGCAGGTTTTCAGAATTCGTACTAAAATGTATCATGCTATATATTCCTTGTAACGTTTGTCATCATCATATTTCTAACATCCATCTATATGGATCTGTAGCTATAGCTTACTGATGTACTGAATTCCAGCATATCAACATACCACAATTTATTAATCTTTTTTTTTTTGTTGAAGACCTGATATTCACATTTTTTTCCCCACACAAAGACAATGTCGCTATAAACATCCCTGTGTGACTCCTTGTGCTTAAAGGCCAAGATTTCCCCTTCATGTACATGCCTAGGAGTGAAATTCCCGGTTTGTAGGGTATGCATATGTTCAACGTCGCTGGACAATGATGATTTATTCTCCAAAGAGGCTACAGGAATTCACCCTCCAACCACCGCCTACACTGACTTTTTATTTTGCTATATGAGTGATTTTAAATTCAATATCTATTCATCTTTTCCTTTATTTCTTATAGCACTTCTAGGTTAGAATAGCATCTCATCCTCATGAGATTTGATAAATATTAAGTTTAATATTTTCGTTTGGTTCTTCCATTGCTTGGCATTTTATATTTAATGCTTTAATTTTTCTGGAGTTTCTATAGCTGAGGGTAATTCTTTGAGGTGATTTTATGTCCTAATGTCACACAAATAATCCCAACTGTTATTTCCTTGCACCCATTAATTTGTGTTACTTTATTATATAACACATCCTTACTTGTAATTGGTCCCGAGGTGTCCTGTGGGTCTATTATTCTACTGATACTATACTGTTTCAATTTCTGTTTACTCATCCGTCTGTTATGAGCTGAGATCCCACTCTGGGTCCAGCAGCATAGTGGGCGCCATGCATAAGGTGATTATAAAACCCAAACACACTGATACAGTCCCTGTCCCTTAGGGAACTTTCAAAATGGACAGTTGATAAAAAAGTAAATAAATAACAGATAATTTTAAATTGTGTGAATCGCTATGAAACATATAAACAAACTGTTGTGATTGATAACGAATAAAAGGGAGTACTTACTTTCAAAGAAAAGTGGACTCAGGGAAAGCCACTTTAAAGTGAGACATGATGGGTAAGAGAAGCCCCTCATGATATGCACTGAGGAGAGAGCATTTCAAGCAGAGAGAACAGTGTGGAGGGCTCTGACAAGTGGAAAAATCTTGGGATGTGAGAGGAAACAAGAGTGTGACTATAATCTGGTGGGAGATGGAAGAGGAGTACCACGGGAGACCAAAACGGTAGATGAGTAAGATTATATGGAGCCTTGCAGGCCACGGCAACATTTAGAACACAGGTAAAAGAAGAGACGTCGACAAGTGATTCAGAGAAGGAAGGGAGAGGGGTGAGAGAGAGGCTGCGGGAATATGACAGCCAGAGGAAAAGACAGTTGCAAGCAGAAGGGAGTCAACTGTGCAGAATGCTCAGAAGTCGAGAAAAAGAGTAGAAAAGAATACATTTGATTGGCTAGAAGCCCTGACAAAACCATAACTTTCAAAGTATAGTTCTGGGAAAGAGACAAGACTGTAGTGCGTTGAGGATGAAAAGGATATGGAGAACCAAGAAAGTATAAGCAAAACTTTCTAGTTTAGCTATAAAAAGAGCAGCAAAATGTGAGACCATATCTGGAGAGAAAGAAGGAATTGAGAGGGGTTATTTTTATTTAAGATAACGTATCCTGGGACATGATGTGAATAATGCAGGAGGGTAGAAGAATTCTGATTCACAGAGTGTGAGATGGTTAAGTTCATATTTTATTGTTTGATAGGAACAGTCTTGCTTCATATTATTTTGAAAATATTATCTTCCAAATTCTCATACTTTTATTATACCAGGTGAATTTCAAACCATTTTCTTCCCCTGTACATACTCCCTTCAAAGAAATGAGTATCTGAGGACTCATATGAAATCTGAACGTTAATCTAGAATACTTGAAACTTTAATAGCATTTGGCCTTTCCATCCTGCAGCTTGGATTATCTCTTCATTTCTTTAAGTCTCTGCTAAAACGATAGAGTGGTGTGGTTACCTCGTATTGGTGATTTCCTCATAATCCTCAAAGAGCAGCAGTATCAGGAAATCTTGGACAGCCCTGCCTCTGCAGGCTGGATGACTTGGGAGGGGTGGTATTCTGGTAAATTATTAGGTGTCTGTGCTTCTTTCATCAGTACATACACAGCATTGATCAATGTCACAAGGAGACTTTGACAATGCAAGGTTTCCATTAGCATACAATGCTTCACATACAACAAAAGGAGTGAAGAGAAGTATGAGATTTTTTTTCTGTCTTAACATTTTGCTCCATGTCATGAGAATGTTTGCATGGTTGCTACTCTTACAAAGCAAAGAGGGGGCCTCCTTTCAAATTTCCTAATTGAGGAAATAAGAGCTGTAATTGGATCATTGTCCATCATTGTAGTATTTGAGACAGTGGCAGACTCTCTAGCTAGGTGGGGGAAAAGCACTGACCAGGCTGTGTCCACAGAAACTAACTGAACACACCTCTTTCTGTCCATTCTATTTAACATGGGGAAAGGAACTCAAAAACAAGTTTGATCTTACAAGCAGGTGCTAAAAAAGGACACGAAATAAACAATTAATTATCAACCTTAATATCAATTAACATGGATTAATAATGTTATTTGGGGTAAGAATTAAAAGAAACTTGTTGAAAAGTCCTTCTGTTGGGAACAGAACCTTTTTTTTAATTTTTTTATTTTTTAAGATTTTATTTTTTTCCTTTTTCTCCCCAAAGCCCCCCAGTATATAGTTGTATATTCTTCGTTGTGGGTCCTTCTAGTTGTGGCATGTGGGACGCTGCCTCAGCGTGCTTGGATGAGCAGCCATGTCCACACCTAGGATTTGAACCAACGAAACACTGGGCCGCCTGCAGCGGAGCACACGAACTTAACCACTCGGCCACGGGGCCAGCCCCAGGGACAGAACATTTTACTTATTTTCTTATTAAAGCTAACTCTGAATTACTCCGGGAACCAGCACGAAGAAGAGACTCTTACTGATCTTTGGCTACAACTTTCCCCCAAATCAATGACTCATCAAATGCTCACTACACAAGCTAGGTTGTCCACCAAAATTTTGAGATATTAGTTTACATGAAAATTGAAGTCATTAGACTTTCTTACAGGGGTATTTTTCCATCCTATCTGTAAACGAATTCCAACAAGAAATTGGTAAAAGGGAAGTAGACCTGTAACACGTTGCATATGGATGTTTTTATAGGTAGCACTATATTTGTAGAGGTGATACTCCATATTGAAACAAGCTATTTTCGTCTTATGTCTGACAAATTTTTGTTCTCCAGAAGATTGCTTAGAATGAAAAAGTGACTAAACACTATAATAAAACATAATGTACCTAACTGTCACTTAGTCATTAAGGAAATTCTATTCCATTTTTAAGAGTATGTGAAATTAAAACTGAAAACTTAAACATTTACATTTAATTACTCTAAGTGATGCTAGCAGAGTCAGTACACGTCTCCTTAATATTAGAAGACTTCATTTTTCTTAGAACAAATCACCTGCCGGGCTTGCTGGAACCACCTGCCGGTCATGCCAAAATCACCTGCCAACTACGCCAGAACCACTTTGCGGACACTGCGGAAACACCTGTCGGGCCGGCCGGAACCACATCTCAGACGTGCCAGAACCGTGTGCATGAGATGCCGGAACCACACCCCGAACACACGGAAACCACCTGCCAGACCCGCCTGAACCACCTGCCGAGCACGCCGGAACCACCTGCTCGACTCGCCGGAACCACCTACCTGACACGCCAAAATCCCCTGCCGGGTATGCCAGAACCACTGGGCGGACACTCTGGAATCATCTGCCGGACATGCCGGAACCAGCTCTCAGACACACCAGAACCACGTGACGGAGACGCCAGAAGCACCTGCCGAGCATGCCGGACCCTCCTGCTCGACTCGCCTGAAACACCTGCCGGACACGCCAAAATCACCTGCCGGGTACACCAGAACCACCTGGCGGACACTCCGGAATCACCTGCTGCGCATGCCGGAACCACCTCTCAGACGTGCCGGAAGCATGTGCCGGACACGCCGGAAACGCCTACCGGACAGACCGGAACCACCTGCCAGACATGCCGGAACTACCTGCCGAGCACGCCGGAGCCACCTGCTCGACTCGCCGGAACCATCTGCCGGACAGGCCAAAATCAACAGCTGGCTATGCGAGAACCACCTGGCGGACAGTCCGGAATCACCTGCCGGGCATGCAGGAACCACCTCTCAGACGTACCAGAACCACGTGCCGGACACGCTGCAACCACGTCCTGGACAGACTGGAACCACCTGCCGGACACGCCTGGACCACCTGCCGAGCACGCCGGAACCACCTGCTCGACTCGCAGGACCCACGTGCCGGACACGCCAAAGAAATCTAAGAAATCATCATGAAATACTACTTTCCTCATTTGGATCCCCTTATTTTATTACTATTTTTCTGCATGGAATTAGCATATGGCAGCAGCAAAGTCAACACATAAACAACAATAAATTCTGTTGGTAATTTTATTAGGATTACATTAAATTTTTAAATTACTTCAGGGAGAATTGACATCTTTATAGCACCATTATAAGATCGAGTGTTTTATCCAAGAGCGGTTTTGATCCATTTTTCTCAAGTCTTCATTTGTGTCCTTCAGGGGTGTTCTATACTTTTCTTCATATTGGTCTTGCACATTTCTTAAGTTTATTCCTAAGTCTTTCATCTTTTTATCCTACCTTTAAATAGCCTGTTTTGGGTCCCATATATATGCCTCTCTAGCTACTGTTGATTCTAAAGTTTATGTGAAAAAGTAAACAGTAATAGTCAGAAATACTTTGAAAGAAGAGCTATGAAGGAAGATTAACCCAAACAGATATGAAGACATATCACGAAACAGCATGGTACTGGAACATGTACAATGAGACTGATCAATGGAACAGAAAGTCAAGAAGCAGACCCCAAAATCTGGGAATGTATATATAATAAAGGCAGTACCTGAAATCAGTGGGGAAAAGATGAGCTACTTTATAAAAGATGTATTTGGAAAAAATAAAGTTGGAACCGTATTTCCCACCATACATCAGGATAAATTCTAAGTAGATCAAATGTTAAGATATTAAAACCATAAAGTTACTAGAAGAAAAATGGGAGGACATCGTTTAACCTCAAGTTATGGAGAAGGTTTTTTCAACTATGCCTGAAAGTCAGAACCCAAGACTGATAAATTTGACATCATAAAATAAAATAAAACTCTTCATGGCATAAAACACTATACGCAAAGCTGAGAGACCAACAAAACAATGGGAAAAAAATTTGTAGCCCATATCAGAAAAGATAGGCTAATTTCCCTAGTACATAAACAAGCTTCTAAACATCAGTAAGAAAAAAAACAATAGAAAAATGTGCAAATTCCATGAATTGACAGCTTAAAGGAAAAAAAAAATAACTCTTATACAAATGAAAAGATGCTCAACCTCGATCCTAAGAAGAGAAATGCAACTACAAATATCCTGGATAGTATTTTTTAACTAGCAGATTGGCATGAATTCAAAAAGTGTTTGATAAATCCTATTGGAAAGAAACCCCAATGGATCCTAAACCCTGTGGAGAAATTTTACACTTTTGACTGCTGAAACCTGTGATATGTTAACTGCAGTATTTTGCTTGACATCAATGAAAAGTATACATATAAGTACTCTGAAACAAACAAAAAAACATAAAAAAACAAAAAGTCCAGCTAGATATTTTCCTTGCAAACTTCATACTTGCCTTCTTTCATTAAAAAGCACCTAAACAAGACCTTCTCCTTGAGGTCATCAGAAAGATCAAAAGAGAATAAAAAGTGAATAACTTTCTTACCATTAAATTCACTGTTAGTGTGTGTCGTGACCAAGTTCCACCGAAAATGATCTGGTGGAACGAATCTGTGACAGTGGTACAGTTATCAGCTTTCTATGATTTTTAGATATGAGAATTGTTAAGAGGAAGAACGGACATGACAGGTAAGTGACTAAATGTGGGGATGCAGGTGAGGAAGAATATTATGACTGAAGTTTTAAGCCTGAGTACTTTCAGGAATAGTAGAAGCATTAATAGAAATGATGAAAGTAAAGAAAATATGATATATGTAGGAAGGATGAATTCAACAAGACAGCTTCCAGGTAGAAATGGACAGTAGGCTAGGACAAATAGAATTGGAATTAGGGACAGAAAAATCCCCCAAAAATACATTAAAAAGACACAAGTGTGTTAACAAATAATACCTACCAGCCATTTTTCATATTCATCAATAGCTTGTTTATCTTTATCTTTTTTCTCGGCTCTTTTCAGTTCTTCCTTTCTTTTCTCATTTATTTTCTCCTTTTCTTTTTCTTTGAAAAAAGCTTCCTTTTTTTCATTCCTATGTAGGATAGTACAAAAAACTGGGAAGTTAAAGGAGAATTTATAATACAGATTCCCTAATATATCTTTGCAATAACAAGATTGAGAAGCATTAGTAAATTTCAAGTAAATAAATATTACAAAAGCCTAAAGTGTTGTTAATTTTAAATCTTTCAAAATATTCCCTATTTTGGAGTACCATTTTTCAACAGCAGTTAAGTTATCTTTCCTTTTCTCAGCAACAGTTTCTTCTTCTTTCTGTTTCTTTGCTCTTTCATATTCTTTCTCCTTTTTATTTTTCTCTTTAAGGTATTCCATCTTTTTCTCTTTCCATCTTTCGAAAGCCTGAAAAAGTTCAGAATGATTTTCTTATTTACTGTGAACATTACAAAATAAGTGAAAACACAGTCACTAATTTAGATTCCAAGTATTTAAAAATAATTAAGAAAGACATTCAAAGCTGTTGAATACTTGTAGGGCTTCTCCTCTTCTCACTGCATTTTCTTCTTCAGTTTTCTTCTTGTTTTTTTCCTCAAGCCTTTTTTTTGCAGCTATTTTCTTTGCTTCCTTTTCTTTCATAGCCTTCCAGGCCTCAAATGATGCTAATGCTTCTTCTCTCTTAGCAGCTCTTTTCTATTTTGGAAAAGTAATAAACAGATATATGTATTATAAATAGCTAGACAAATATAGATAGATATTGATATACACCTATGTATTTATCTTTAATTCCCTTGAGACTCATCATATATAGAAATGAGGTTTCAAGGCAGATAATTTATTTAGAATGGTTTAGACCAGTTAATTTATAAAAAATGTTATCTGAATTATTCATTGCCATTTTCAAATGTCCTTTTCTGAAAGCACTTACTAGATATTGATATACTACTATCCATGGGAAGAAAGTCAACTTTCTTTTTGGAAATGTACTAAACAAATGTTAGCAAAATACACTGTAATAGGCTAAGCGGTACTGTAAAATGTTCATAATAAACTATTTCAGTAAAGGAAAAACGTGAGGAAAGTTACAGGCCTATAAAGTATGTCAGAGGAAGGTAAATTGACCAAGTCCCTCAGTAAGTCGTAGCTCTTTGCATTGAACCTGAGTTTTCTTGGCCATCAAAGCATGAAATTCTTACCAAACACATCCCAAATGTTGAAAAGGTGTGCCAGACTGGAAAATATGTAGGTGAGGGTGAGTATGTTATTACTTTACTTACTTCAATCTAATCCCATAATATCCTATGTTTGCTTTACAATATTACTTAACGTTAAATACTACAAAGCCTTATTATGGAGATACATAATTTAGAAGTAAAAATACTGCCTCCCTCACTGAGTGGTGGCGATCAGAGGGAAGGAGTCTGGCCCTGACCACAGCAGTATAACGCTGCAACACAGCCACAGGTGCACAGGCACTCCCCCTAGGGCGGCTCCATACAGTGCCACGCATTTGGGAAATATGTTTCATTCTAAATCAATTTCGGTACTGAACAGCACAAGAAGGCTTTTTTTCAGATGATTTAGGGGAAGATGAAGAGGCTAACAGGCGGGAGTTAAAGGCAGAGACTGAAAGTTCAGGAGGGACTAAAACAAGAGTCAGGCATCAGGAAGGATATGGGTCCAGAGCTCAGGTAGGGGCTGGTCTTGAAGATACACATAAAATTCAAGATGGGAAAGAGGAAAACTGAAGGTTAATGTCTGATGATCCTTTATATTCTTGGCTAAGTTGTAAGACTGAAGTCAGTTTTTAAAAGTGGAGTAAGTAGGTGGTTACAAGCAATAATGAGTTCATACTCAGTAGTGCCAAAGCTATTCCACACATATAAAAAATAAAAATCTCTGTGAGTCTGTGTTTCCACGTACAACAGGTATAATATATTCATATCAAAGTAAAATTGTTTAAAGCACCAGAGAAGTAAAAATCAGAAATCAATTCTTTTATATACAAATTACTTGGCCATTTAAAAAACAGTTAATTTATGGGGCTAGCCCTGAGGCGTAGTGGTTAGGTTTGCGTACTCTGCTTCAGCAGCCCGGGGTTCGCAGGTTCAGATCCTGGGTGCAGATCTAGCACCACTGGTGAAGCTATGCTGTGGCGGCATCCCACATAAAACAGAGGAAGACTGGCACAGATGTTAGGTCAGCGACAATCTTCCTCAAGTAAAAAGAAGAAGATGGGCAACAGATGTGTTAGCTCTGGGCCAATCTTCCTCATAGACAAAAACACAGGAAAAATTTTAAAAACACAGCTGATTTAGAAATGTTAAATATTCAGAGATATTTTATTGACATAAAAATCCAGAATATTTTTCTCTTCTATATTTCAGAATACCTGTTCATTTTGGATCCTTAAATTTTCACTTTCAATCCTTTTAATTCTGTGCATTTCATGTAAATACACATTTTTCTTTTCTAACCACTCCTGTAAGAACAAGAAAAAGGCCATGTGATATTCAAAGTTTCCCAAATGTTAGAATTCTTATCTATGTTGAAATATTTGATTAAAACTTTAAAGAAGCAAAACACAAAATTTATAAATTCTATATACATTAGTATCATTTTTATTTTTCTGATAATATCCTAAAATATAAAGAGTACTAATTAAGAAAATCATAAGCATGCTTTCTTAGTATTAACATACTTCAAAAATTGAATATAATAGCTATACATATTAACATTTTTCTCTGAAATTAGATGTACAGTTTTCTAAATTGTACTATTCTGTATAATAATACCAAAAAAAGACCTTTTTTGGAATTGTAAAAAAATTAGTAATACCTTTTCCTGTGTAAGCCTAATTCAAATACAAAGTATCAAATTTTAAACATCTTAAGTTTAAAACATTTTAAAATTCTTTTTGTTCATAACAATATCAACTATAAGGATAAAAAGTATAGAAGCATATACAGACTTTGATGTATTTTCTTTTGCTAGATTTTTATAAATTGCCATGGCATCTTCTCTTTAAGGAAAAAACAACTATGATAAGTTAAACAAAGCCTGGAAGAAAACGATTTAGTAAAAAAAGCTCTGGATTGCTCATAAAGGAAAATCTTTCCCAATAAATTAAGTATTAAATCATCATCTCTGATGGGCCATTTTATTCCTTGATGAGCAGGTAACATTATGCAAGTGATTAATTCCTCTTATTTTTCAACTTTTAATATTTTCCTTTTTACCTGATAAACAGCTGCCCTTATGTTATCTGCTCTGTCAGGTTCCATGTTCTGTTTCTGTGAGAGCTTCTGGTCCAAGACTTTCAAAGTCCCTAGATAGTGAGAAGAGGTAGTTGTCGATGGAGATTTCTTTACAGAACTAGATTTCTTCAAAAACTCAGAGGTCATTAATCTGAAAAGACCCAAACGAATCAAGATAAAATATTACAATTGTACTCAGTAGAAGAAAGATTCATCAGAATTTGTAACTACTACTTTTGAAAACTACATGATAATTTAATAAATTATAATTACTTTGAAAATGATACGTGGTCTTTTCTCAGTACTCAAAGAGCCCTATTCAATATAATTTAAATTTTATAACTAAGTTATATAGCTCCAAAGTGATTGCTGTTTTAGGTGTTTGTAATTAGAACATTTAGAAGAAACATGGACTGTATCTCAAGTTACATGGAAAACACAATATTAATAAAGTAGGTTTTAATAGTTTCTTGTATTATTTTGTTACATAAACCATTCTAAACATCAAGTTAGATAGCATGCTCTATTCCAGGGGTTGGTGGGAAAATCTGGCCCACCGTCTGATGGGCAAGTAAACATGACCGCAGCACGACTACCTTCATCCATCTATGTGCCGCCTATGACCGCTTTCCTGCTACAGCAGCAGAAGTGAGCAGTTCCAACAGAGACTGTGCGGCCCACAAAGCCTCACATGCATACTCACTGGCCGTTTACAGAAAAAGCTTGCTGAGCCTGGCTGTATTTGATTAATGAGCATTTGATTAATGATAATGTAAAAGATTCGGAAGGTTGTAATTAGCATGGACGAGTTAGGCATTCATTATCGTCAGTGTCAATGAAGCTATACAGATTCTCATCATTTTAATAAACCAATTTAGTCCATAGAACCTCAAGGCTTTAAGAACAACTTTTCATTGTTAGACAGAGACACTTAATAGAGAAGGATAATGCTGGATGTCAGCTGCATTGCCGTTTGATGTCTACCGTGTCAGGAAAAACTGGAGAAAGAAATGCTATCCTGGGAGCAATGCAGAGTATGGAGAATCCTTAATCAATTCCTTTTTATAAAAGAATACAATCAACTGAGGGTTTTTATCATGAAGTAACTACACCACTCGGCTCACGAGATGGAAATTAAGAGAAAATAAGTAACAGCAAATGAAATCTACTTTATGGAAGTTATATTAAAACAAGCTTTGTTAGAATGTAAACCCATAAGTGAAAGATATTGATAACATTATTACCTGCCAGAGGCACTGGATGCTCTATTATTTGTTGACTTTTTATTCTTCATATTCCTATCTTCCATTGTTTTCTATTAAACAGAAAAATTCATAGATGGATTGATTACAAACTAGAACTATCACACTTAGGCTTGGGGGCCAAACTGCCAGTAAATCAGCATTTTTTAAGCATCTACTACGTGTCAAGTACTGTAGGCAGTGGGAACAAATAAGTGAATAAACTGCCCTCAGGATATGACATTTCAGAGAGGGCTGACTGACAATGAACACACAAACAAACGTGACTCATGAAGCAGATAAACCAGGGTCCAGTGACGAGAGTGACTGGAGTGAGCTGGGGGCTCCTTTAGTGAAGGCTCAGGGAGGCGACCCTGAGGGCTGACCTCAGAGCCAACACGATGATGGGTGGAGAGGGGCTGCGTGGCCTGCTGTGGAAAAAAAGAGTAAGTGCTGAGAGCCTGAGAGGGGCGAGCTTGACCTTTGTGAGAACCAGGGAAAGGTGAAGGATGCTGAAGCACACTGCATGGCGGGGAGAGGAGGAATACACGGTCGGGAAGCGGTCTTTAGGAAGCGGTAAGGAGTTTGGATTTTATTCTCATGATGAAAATCCAACAGAGGCCATAGCAGGGGAATGATTAGATTCCAACTTAAGAAAGATCACTCAGTAGAGAGTAAGAATAAAGCCAAGGATCCAGTTAAAAGAAATACGTTATGATTTTATATAAATTACATATAAATATATAAATTGTTATATACAAATTGTTCTAATTTAGAATTACCTCTACTAGACATTTCCAAGATCCTGTCTGTAAACTCCAGAATACTCTTCTTCCTTCTAAGGAATAACTTTTCTACTTTACACAGATAGATGTGTGTTAGATTAAAGTGACAGCACGGACGTAGACACATCCCTAATATGAAATTAGTGGGCTTTTTCTAAGCAAAACAGCTAAGGACAATATACCTGGAATATGGTTTAATGAACCATCTCCATAAATTTTAATAAAAAGCTAATATTCTGTATATAAAAGTCCTATTCAACCACAAGTTTTCAGCTATTATTATCGTCCTCCCCAAATACGAATATACACATAATCACCAGCTAACTGAGCTAGAAGAGATAAAGACTAAATTCAGGAGAAAGAAAGACTAAAAATGCTATGCTATAATTTTTTTTTTTTGGTGAGGAAAATTGGCCCTGAGCTAACATCTATTGCCAATCTTCTTTCTTCTTTTTGCTTGAGGAAGATTGTTGCTGAGCTAACATCTGTGCCAATCTTGCTCTATTTTGTATGTGGGACACCACCAAAGCATGGCTTGATGAGTTGTGTGTAGGGCCGTGCCTGGGATCCAAACCCGTAAGCCCCATGCCACTGAACTTAACCACTATGCCACTAGTTGGCTCAAAATTTAAAAGCATAGTGCTCGGGTGCAGTTTAGCATAGGGACAAGTAATCCTATACACCGCAAGTCTGGTTCTCAAGATCCATAACATTCCTGATAATACCCTGTCCCTCCACTTAAATAAGGATGGATGTTGATAAACATTTCTTAAAGATTTTCATTAAAATTTTTTAAATGTTTAAAGATGATATCCAAAGGAATAACAAACTAATTCAGAACCTTAGAAATTGTTCCAGATAGCTTATTTTTACAACATGAAGACCCATAGAAACCTACACACTTATGGGTATGTATTTCTGAAATATTTAAAAGTATGTTATGGGGGTCAGTCCCATGGCCTAGTGGTTAAGTTTGGGGTGCTCTGCTTCGGCAGCCCAGGTTCAGTTTCTGGGTGTGAATCCACACCACTTATCGGTGGCCATGCTGTGGTGGCGTCCCACATACAAAACTGAGGAAGTTTGGCACAGATGTTGGCTCAGGGTGAATCTTCTTCAGCAAAAACAATAAAAATAAAAGTATATTATGATCATATACCTCAGACAATTTTTAATGAAAACACTGAGTTTTATTGTATTCACTGCAAACCTTCCCTGAAGTTAAAATTCTATTGAATTAAATAATAACTATTTGACAATATAATACCACCATCAAAAGATTAGTTTCCACAGGTAATTCAGAAGTACATAACTTGGAAGATAAAATATTTAGTGTTCTATTTTGAGTTTTAAGCTGGAGTATAAAAGGTGTAATTTGATATAAATACCTCTGCAGATTCAGTTGCATTGGGAGATATTAAGATACTCTGAGATTTCAGTAGTGGTGGATTAACTGTTAAATCATCATTCATAATCAACTCGGTTTTCTCCTTTTCTTCTTCAAGGTCATCAGTAGTTACTTGACTTTCCTTGGATTTTTCAAGTGCAGTAGTAGCAAAGTCAATCAAAGATGAATTCTCTTCATTTTCATTTGGTTTCAAAGAATTATGGTTTTCAGTGAATTCTTCATTCTGATCTATTTTGAGACAGAGTAACAGCACTAAAAGTCCCTTCTGAATTAAGAAGGAGTAACAGCACTAAAAGTCCCTTCTGAATTAAGAAGGTGGATAATAGATCATTTTCTTTCCACTAAATGAAGACTGTCTATAATCCTTTTTTTCTTGCAAAACAAAATATGAAGAAAACTATCATATTCAACTTGAATAAACTTTTTCCAAAGTGATCTATAAAAGAAAAAATAGCTACTCAATCTATTAAAGCATTTGAGATACCTAATGCTTAAAAACAAACAACATATTAGTTGACAGAATGAAATAGCTACCCTAAAATAAAGACATACCAAAAGAGCTTGTTGACGTATTATTGAAGTAAGCGAGATGGTAAAAGGTTCTATTTGAAAGCCTGTGCTTCTCAGCTGGAACAAGAGGCTGTGTAAGCAGGATGCACACATCTCTATGCTACTACAGTTACTGGCAGTGCAGTTATAAAATTGTATGGATGCAGAGAGAATCAAGAATTCGTGCAATTTTAGAAGAGTCCACCACCCAGAGAATAAACCATCCTCTAGTTGGTTGTATTCCCACTAAGAGGCAGTGCTGCCTCTGATCCCACAAGGGGCACTGAAGGCAGGCCAACTACACACCTTCTCAGTGCTCCAAGGATAGGCTCAGGCTCTGGCAGGAGAGGATTCAGTTTTGCTTTTACAGAACTTCTAATTCTGCTTCTAATATTCTGTTTCTTATATTCTGCTTCTCCCACACTTCAGAAGGCTCGACAGAAATAAATCAGTGCTTTCCGTGTTGATCACCAAGTTTCAGTTCTCCCAGGATCCACCTCCTGCTCAAATCTGTATCTTCACTGCCAAAGTCTTAATTCTGCTGCTTTCACTACAGTCGTTTTTTAGAACTCGTTTTGAGGTAAGCTAGATTTAAAATCACTTTATAATCACAGTTATACATTCACATTTGGAGAGTACTTATGACTCAAAAGTATCACTATTAGATTCTTTAAAGCTGCTAACCAGTGTATTCAGTGAAAAGAACAAAGACTTTGGAGCCAAAGATTCAAATTACAGCTCCATCACTGACCTTGGATATGTTTCTTAGTATCTCTGCATTTCAGCTTCTCTCATATGTAAAATGACTAAAAGTATACTACATTGTAAGCACTTAACAAATGTTACATATCCCAGCCTTAGACACAGCCACGCCCTTTAGCTCTCATTAAGCTACATGTCATAGGACTAACGAAAGAAATAACAACTCACACCTCCCACTTACTGTGTGCTTACTATGGTACTATTCGAAGTGTTTTACATGTATTATTAACTCATTTAATTCGCAGAACCACCCAATGAGGTAGGTTGCTCTTTTGTCTCCATTTTAGAGATCAATATACAGGGCCAGACAGGTTAGCTACTTTGCTCATATAATTGTGTCTGGATTCAAATCCAGCCTAGTCTCACTTTAAAAGTCCACCCAACTGTTATGTTGTACTGCAGATGATCACAGCAACACATGCATAATAACAGTACATATTTAGTGCCCGGAACTGGGCTAGTGGCCAAAATGCACAGCATCACTTCAATTTCCACAACAGCTCTATGAGATAGGTCTTATATCTTGGGGGAAACTGAGGCACTGAGAGATTAAGTTCTGCATCTGATATCACATGGTTAGTAAACTGCATAGCTGAGATTAAAACCCATGAAAACACAAACATATCATTCCTGTAACTTTGCAAAGTATTATTTCTTTTATAAAGGGGATTCTAAGAAATACAGAGTTCACAAATAAAATAAGATACAATAATTAGGTATAACCACCTTTTATGGATGCTTTTTCCTCTGATCCTGGTGAAAAGGAATCTTCAACACTTTCTTTAAGGGATAATGATGATAGACTTGCATCCTGTTTTTAAAAAAAATGTATTTACCATGTAAGTTTAGTTCTCAAGATTTGTTGGGGGCAGTAGCATTATTAAGACTATTTCTTAACTCTGAAATTTGCATTATTACGAATTTGCTGCTGAAATATAAAGGTGTTAAACCAATAGAGGCATACATGCTTTCCTTTCAAGCCTTGATGTTCTGATCATTAAAAGGGGTCACTAAAAGAGCTATTCTAGTTCTTTAGCTGCCACTTCTATATTTGTTTTTACCAATTTTCAAAACTCCTGCTGCTTTAAAATCAAATCTTATAAATATTTGAGGCAAAGACGTGATCTCTTTTTCTCTAATTCTCCTTCCTAAGAAAGTATAGAGAAAACAGTAGTTAAAAACCTTTAGTTTCAAGCAAATGTTACTAGTTTTCCAAGTGAAGCAATTTATAAAACCAAGTAGACGACCACTACCAAATATTTTAGATAGGAAAAGCACATTGATTTCATGCACTTGAGTTTTCCTCAGAATTCTGAAATGAAATAATTACATTTGTATGACTAAACTAAACATCTTTTAGGACACTGCGGACATCACTCATTCATAGGGTCACCAGGAGTTGGAGCTGACTTGAGACGGCATGTAATAACAACAAATCTAGCCTAACAGTGATGACATTATAATGTAAGAAGCTTGATTTTGTTGCAGAAATAATAAATTTTAATTTTCTTTCCTAACATATTTTATGGATACAAAGACAAGTATATGTCAAAGACAACAGACAGAAATCATCTGAGAAGATGGCAGAAGGGCCGAGACATTGGAGCCTGCCTTGAGACAAAGCTTTGCCTGAGGAGATTTGCGAGTCAGTGGGTTTTTGTCTGAAGGCATTCCCCTATCTGTGCAGCTCAAGTAATAGAAGACTGCAGCCTTACTGTACTGGCTTTAGGGATCAGAGGACAGACTTTAGGACTGGACTGGAATATCATCCAGGAAGTTAGAGGAAGAGCTGCAGAGGGCGTGACATTTAAAATCTGCATAGAAAATTAATCCACAGGCCTTGGCTCATCTACACATGGCATGAGGAAGACCTCAGAGGGTCCTGTAACAATCATAGCACCCAGAAACTGAAACAACTAAGAAGAGATTTCAGTTGATATCCATGGCAGGGGAGACAGAGTGGGGAATTTGAGTTCAGCCATAATATCTGTGTGCTCAAACACATGTTCAGCAGAACACAAAAGAATCCAGAATCTCTACAATATATCATTCCTAATATCTAGTATTCAATTGAAAGTTACTAAACAGGTGAGGAAACAAAAAATGGTGACACATACCCATGAAAGCAAAAACAAAAACAGTTAACAGGAATCAACCCAGAGATGACCCAGATGTGCAATTAGCAAATGAGGACTTTAAAGTAGGCATTATAAATATGTTCAAGCACTTAGAGGAAATATATGCGTGGTGAAAGAACAGATGGAGGATCTTACCAGAGATCTAGAAAACACAAAAAAAACAATAGACAGGCTAGAGTTGAACACTACACTGCTGAAATAAAAAATTCACTGGATAGACTTAACAGCAGACGAGAAATAGCAAAAAGGCCAGTGACCTTGAAGACTGAACAATACAAATTATTCAATCTGAAAAACAAAGGGAAAAGATTGAAGCAGCACAAACAGAACTTTAAAGATCAGTGAGACATATCAAAAATTTCAATGCAAATATAATTAGAGTATTAAAAGGAGAGGAAAGAAAAATAGGGCAGGAAAAACTTTTTAAAAACTTCCCATTTTCATGGACAGTATCAGTTTACAGATCCTGAAAGTCAGTGAAGCCCAAGCAGATAAATATAAAGGAGACCACGCTGAGGTACCTTACAGTCTAACTGTAACTAAAAGAAAAAAGACAAAAATCTTGAAAAAATTCCTGAAAGCAGCCAGAAAAAATCCAACATGTTATAGATAGGAGGACAACAAAATGAATTACTATGATTTCTCAACAAAGAATAGAGGCCAGGAACAATGGAAATCTATAATGAGCTGGGGATAGGAGAGGGAACTGCCAGCCCAGAAGCATACATTCAGCTAAACCATCCTTCAAAAACGAAGATGAAATAAAAACTTTTTATATAAGTAAAGACTGAGAGCATCCGCCACTGGCAAACCTGCTACAAGAAATGTAAAAGTAAGTTCTGAAGACTGAAGGGCAATAACGCTAGATGGTAATCTGGGTCCACAGGAGGAAATGAAGATTCCCAGAAATGGTAGACATATTTAAGAAAACTGTAAAAATTTAATTTATCTTCTTTCATTTCTTTAAAAGTCCAAGACAAAAAGTTTAAAAGGCTATTTAAAGAAAATTTAAAACACTGCATTGTGGGAATTATACCACCTGTAGATGGAATACATAAGACAACAACGGCACAGTGGACGAGGGAGCGTATGGAACAATACTGCTGCAAGGTTTCCATATTAATCGTGAATTAATGAAATATCAACTTTAAGTAGATTGTGATAATTTATAGGTGCATCTTGTAATCCACAGAGAAACTCCTAAAAATATAAAGCAAATAGGTATAACTAAAAAGGCAACAGAGGAATCAAAATGGAAAACTAAAACATACGTGATTAACTCTCAAAAAAGTGGCAGGAAAAGAGTTACAGAGGAACAAGAAGAAGAACGTCAATTAGAAACAACAGATAAAGAGAAAACAAATAGCAAGGAATTGGGCCTACACATACTTATATTAAAAGTAAATGAATTAAATACTCTGCAAGATCAGGGAAGAATTACCAGAGGTTGAAACATTTCAGAATGCTAAATAGGGTCAAGACATAATAATAATAAATGTGTATGTGCCTAATAACAAAGTTATAAAATACTGACAGAACTAAAGGGGAGTACAGAGAAATTCACAAACATAACTGGAGATTTTAACAGCCTTTAGTTGGTAATCAGTAAATCAACCTGACAAACTCTCAGTAAGGAGGGAAAAGATCTGAATGACACTACCAGCCACCTTGACCAAGCTGAAATTACAGAACATCACATCCAATGCTAGCAGAACACATATACTTTGTAAATGCAAATGGAACTTTCACAAGAACCATTTTGGATGGGCCATTAAAAAAAAACCTCAACAATTTTTAAAAATGTGAAATCATATAAGATATATTCTCTGACCACAATAAAATTAAATTATAAATCAATACAAAAGTATATCTAGAGAAGATCCAAATATTCGGAAATAAAATCATTCACCACAAAATAACCAATTGGTAAAAGAAGAGATTACAAGGGAAATTAGAACATATATTTAAAGAAATGATAATGAAAATGAAAGGCATCAAAAAAATTGAGGGTTGCTAAAGCAGTGCATAGAAGGAAATGTATAGCTTTCAATGGTTTTAATAGAAAGGATGACCGGCTTAAAATCAATGGACAACCTGCCCAATGTAAAGGTAACGAAATTAAACCCAAACAAAGCAAAAGAAAGATATAATAAAGAGTGGAAATTAGTGAAACTGGAAACAAACAATAGAGAAAAGTAACTGAGCCAAATTTGGTTCTTAGAAAAGTTTAATAAAACTGAGAAATGCCTACCAACATTTAACAAGAAAGAAAGAAAACACAAACTATATATTAGAAATAAAAGATGAAATGTCATAATCCTATTGTCCTCATAAGGACAAAGGAATATCACAAACAAACTTTGTTTATAAATTCAACATCACACATGAAACGGACAAATTTCTCAATAAACATAAATTACCAAACTGAAGAAATAGAAAATCTGAGTACTGAAATATCTATCAAAAAAAAAAATTTAGCGTCAAAGACCTCTCCACAAAGAAAATTCCAGACCCAGATCATTTCACTGCTGAAGTCTCTCAATTAAGGAAAAAATCATAGCAAACCTTTTTTTTTGGTGAAGAAGATTGGCCCTGAGCTAAAATCTGACACCAATCTTCCTCTTTTTGCTTGAGGAAGATTGTCCCTGAGCCAACATCTGTGCCAGTTTTCCTCTTCTTTGTATATGGGACACTGCTTCAGCATGGCTTGATGAGCAGTGTGTAGGCCTACACCCAGCATCTGAACCCACAAACCCCGGCCCACCAAAGTGGAGTGTGCAAACTTAACCACTACACCACCGGCTGGCCCTCAAATTTTGGTTTCATACCCAAAATACAGATCAGAAGTCTTAACAAAATATTAACAAATCAAATCCCACAATAAAATCTTACACTATGACCAACCAGACTGTATCCCAGGAACATCAGGTTAGTTTATCATCTGAACATACATATGTATCATCATACACACACACACACACACACACACACACACACACACACACACAAAGGAAAGGTGGGAGGTGAGGATGTAGTGAGAAAGCAAATGTCACCCTTCAATATCTGGCTGTGACATTTCAGGAAGATAAGGCAGTAGGGGGAGAGGTACAGCGCCAAGTGAGAGTATATACAAAATTAAAGAGGTTTGAACACAGTTAAATGTGGATGGAAACAGACCCTTCCAGTCTTGATTGCAAAAAGACCCTTCCAAAGACTCTTCAATGGAAGAGCCAAAGATTACAGACACAGGAAAGAGAAGAGTTGAAAAAAAAATAGATGGGAAATCCCTGAGAAGGTGGACTAAAGAAGATTCAGTGCACAGTCAGCATGATTTTTACAATGAGGAATACAGAAAATTTAAATTATTAAAAATAGAAGTATCCAATATACCCAACAATAAGATAATAGTTCTGTTACAGTCATTAAAGTGAAAGTAGTCTGAAGATCACCCAGCAACATGGAAATATGTCATGATCCATTGCTAAGAGACAAAGAAAAGGCATGATACCAAACATTATTAATGTTATGATGACAAATATGATAAAACAAGTATAGGAAAACAGGCTAAAAAGGGGAAAAGAATAACGAGTAGTTGTTATTACATGGTGGAATTATGGGTAGATATTTTTCAATTAGGTCTTCTTTCATAATATGTTACTTTAATAATTTTAGAAACTTTTTTTTTTTTAATTGAGGGACATAGAAATGCTAGCAAAGAGTGTTTAAAGTTAGGTATCTGTACCAGTTTGAATATTGTCCCCTCAAAACTAATGTCTTTCTAGAATCTCAGAACGTGATCTTATTTGAAAAGAAGGTGTTTACAGATGGAATTAGTTAAGACAAGGACATACTGGATGAGGCTAGGTCTTAAATCTAATGACTCGTGTCTTTTTAGAGAAAAGAGAGGGTGACACAGAGACACAGGGCAGAAGGCCACATGATGACAGAGGCAGGGACTGGAGTAGTGCAGCTACAAGCCAAGGATTGCCAAAGATTGCTGGCAACTGCCAGAAGCTGGGAGAAGCAAGCAAGGATTCATTCCTAGAGCCTTTGGAGGGAACACGGCTCTGCCTACACCTTGACTTTGGACTTCCGGCCTCCAAAACCTAGAGAATGAATTTCTGTTGTTTTAGGCCATTCAGTTTGTGGCAATTCGCTACAGCACCTACAGTAAACACAATATCCTCTTCACTGGATAATTTTACTAAACATAAAATAATGGTTTGGGTTTGCTAACACCCTCTTTTCTTCTCCTGATTTTCAGAACAAATTAGGAAACAGCACAGTGCAGTCAGGTAGATGTATATATCAAATTGTCAACTTTACTGGTAAAACTGAACTACAGAACAAGGTTTGAATCAGCTGCCCATTGTGCTCGTACTTCCGGTCTGAACGAGAGGGATTCAGCCATTTAGCACGAGTACCAAAGAGTTCCTCCCAGCTCTTTTACCGCCTCCCAAGGAAATCCCTACCCACCAATACCACAGAGGAATGAGCAGAAAAAGCAAGCAGCTTAGCAGGTACCATTCAGTTCCTTTTCCCTGAGCTGCTCAAGCTGATTATGGAGGAGGAATGTTCTTCTGAAACTTATTCCTTCTGAAATGTGGGGTGGAAGTTCAATAACCACAGCGAAATGTACAAAGAGGGGGCCAAGCATTCTCCCCCAATAAGAATACACAGTAAACTCCCTGACGAAAATCTGAAGAATCACGTTTACTCCTATTTTGGCACGCGCCAAAGAATACAGGACCATGACTATTCAATACACATTTGCTGAGTGAACGAAATCAAAAGAATGACAGACTCTACTGTCCTTAGGCATAAACTATAGAATTCAAAGATACCTAAATAAAACTATAAATTCTTACAATTAAAGGTATACAGTACTGCATAGATTCAAAAGGTGACCTTTTTTTTTTGCATTTTACTTTCTCTGAAACTGGACGCATCTAATTGCTGGTGTGTTACAGCTTAGTTGTCAGTTTTCCTCTTTCTTAGCAGCATGTAAAATAACTATCTTACAAATGGAGTTTTAGACTGAATGGAATACAGTATATTAAAAAAACTTAACCTTATTTTCTTATCAAGTGTCTGAGAAAACAAGTAAAACGCATGCACACATGCATTCACACAAATATTTATTTTCTTTCTCTCTCTCAAAATCAGATGCAAAAGCCTGAATTTAAGAACACACTGCAGCAGTTCAGCTGTGGTGCTAACCTCAGGATCAGGGTTTTCAGAGAAGGCCTGCTTCTCAGCTCCCAGGTGTCCGCCATTCAGCCTCGGGAGGGGTAGAGGCGCAGAACGTGCTGCTAATTCTTCATGGAGGGCCGCTTCTTTGTCTTCTCCCAGCCCTGCTTTCTCCTCCCTGAGGCTACGCTTTTTCAACATGCTCCTTGGCCGAGGTGAAGGCTTAAAGTGGTTGTCTGCCTCAAGGCTGCTACTATTTTCTGCTGAAAAGTAAAATGTTTTAAGGTGGGTGTACAAAAAAATGACTATGGCTTCAACTACACCCCAGCATACCACCACACTTCCCTCCTGTGCCCATGCACCTTGGCCCTCTGTCCTGGAGAGTCCAGAAGCTCAAAACCTTTCCCTACACAGAGCTCCCATAAGCACAAATAAGCCATAGTTCAGAATCAAAATTTAAAAATAGCTGCCATCCTGGAAATAACTAGTATACTTTGGTTGTTTTTTTTTTTTTTTTAAGATTTTATTTTTCCTTTTTCTCCTCAAAGCCCCCCGGTACATAGTTGCATATTTTTTATTTGTGGGTCCTTCTAGTTGTGGCAAGTGGGACGCCGCCTCAGCATGGCTTGATGAGCTGTGCCATGTCCGCGCCCAGGATCCGAACCGGCAAAACCCTGGTCTGCCAAAGCGGGGCACACGAACTTAACCACTCGGCCATGCGGCCGGCCCTTGTGAGAAGTTAACTCTTCAACTTTATGAACTCTCCTAATATTAAAAAAAACTTTTTAAAATAAATTAAACAAAATCATGTCCCAGTTTCAACCTCTACGAAATGAGGGGTTCATCCATCGAACCTTGGCTGAGTATCTGCTGCTAGGTCCTGTACACATTACTCACACTATGGACCTCATAATCAAGAAGTGACAACGTCCCTGTCCAAGGACTTTACAGGTTGGGAAGGGTGACAATTCTAAAGAAATAAAATGGCAAGACAAGGGTAGGTGCCGCTGTAAGTATGAAGATGACAGTGTCAGTACAGAGCATCAAAGTGCCAACTCCGACTGGAGGGAGAAATGAAGAACTAGATGATTTGTGTCACTATTCATTGAGTCCTTACAACTTCTTTAGCAGTTATTAAAATTTCTCAGTTACTATTTCCATTCCTTCAAAGTTTAAAACAAGAATCTAATGCTGGTACGCTTCCAGCCTTCAAAACACTATATGAAAAATTTTCACATAACCTTTTTGCATAAATTTTACCTGTTATACATATTCATTTCTCCATTATTTTACCAATGCGCTCTGCTGACAAAATTTCACAACCAAACTAATTAACATCTTCTTCCTTTTACCTATAAATGGGCTTAGGAGTGGTGCTAGAAGAGCCAACCACCATACCAAATCGTTACCACTATCAATGCTTCATTGCCAATTTTAGTTAAGTCCTAAACTCTGGCCAAAGGTTCAGTCCCAAATCCAGAGTCAACCTAGAGTCCCCCCTCTGTTCCCTGCTATGCCCAAAGCATCACTATACCCTACTGATTCTACTTGCTAAATCTCTCTCATTTACCCCGCTTCCTACATCCCCACAGTCAGCTCCTCATCCACTCTTGCCTAGATTACTACCGCAGCGATATTTACAAAATGCAAATCAGCTCACATCACTCCTCTCCACAAAATTCTTCAATGGCTCCCCATCACCCAATCCTACAGAATAAAAGCTTAATTGCCTCTGAACAATATAAAAGGTTTCGTGGTTTTGTCCCTGGCTACACGTGCTGCCTTGTTCACTGGCACACCCATTTTGTTATCTGTGTTCCGGAAATGCTGTGCTAACTGCTATTTTCAGCTATGCCACCGTCCTTGCTGCTGTCACACCTTTACCCAAGCTGATCCCTCTGCCTAGACTGTCCGCCTCCTGCTTCTCCTCCTGACAAATGGGTGCATGTCTTTCAAGCCTCACTTTAAGCAGACTACTGTAAAATGTCTGAAAGAAGGTATGGAGTCAATTTTTTTTATTGTGGTAAGAACACTTAACAAGAGATCTTCCCTCTTAAACTTTTAAGTGCACGATATACTATTGTGAACTAAAGGCATAGCGTCGCATAGATCTCTAGAACTTACCTTGCATAACTGAAACTTTACACCTGTTGAACAGCACCTCCCCCTTCCCCCGGCCCAGAGCCCCTGGCAACCACCATTCTACCTCCTCTGTGTATGAGTTTGACTCTTTCAGATATTTCGGATTTGAATCTTGGCTGTGACACATTAGCATTGTAACCTTACACAAATCATAACCTCCACGTACCTCAGTTTTCCCATTGGTAAAATAAATTCATAATTCCTAAGATGCCTGTGTGACTTGAGTGAGATAATATACATAAAGTGCACAGCACAGTGCCTGATACATGGTAAATGAACATTAACTTTTCTTTTTACTGGTTTGTCTATCACTCCTATTTTCTTTGGGGAAGTCTCTCCTTCTCTCCATCCATGTGATTCTGGTAGATTAGCAAGTATCTCCTCCATACCTCAGTGAGAAGGGTGGGCCCATGATGCACACCCCTCCCCCAGCTTATCACAGAAACTTCATTTCCCCTCGCCACAGCAGGTGGTCAGGCGGTGAGTATTTTTCTATTTGGAGTCAAAGGATATGCGGTCATAGTCATGGAGCTGGAAGGATGTGACTGGAGACTGCTAGTGGCATTCTCCCCTGCTGAGGGAAGGGCTGTTTGAGACACAGACCAAATGACAAAAAAATAGGACCCAGGGATGGAGTAACTGGGGAGTTGACAGTTGCGGGAGGAGAGAATGAGAGGGTCAGGGAGTCAGGGAGGGTGGGCAGAAGTAAAGAGAGAAAATCCAGGTGACATGAAAGTACTGAGTCTCTAAACTTAATGACACCTAAAGCAAGGCCTCCTGACATCCACGCTCAAGAAGGCGATGAATTCCCCCTTCCACTGAAGTTTGCTTGAGTTGCATCATTTGAAACCAAGAGTCCTGACTACAGATACTATTATTTGCCAGTTATTGCTAATACGGCCATCTCCTCTAGGAAGCCTTCCCTGATGCCCTCAGGCAAACTTAGGTGCCTACTTTCCTGTGTTCTTACTAGACCTTTTGTCCACCTCCCCACTAAACTGTAAAGTCTTTGCTATGGTCTGAATGTTTGTGTTCCCCTCAAACTCTTATGTTGAAATCCTAACCCCAAAGGTGATGCTATCAGGAGGCAGGCCCTTTGGGAGGTGATTCGGTAATGGGGGCACAACCTTCATGAATGGGACGAATGCCCTTATAAAAGAGGCTCCACAGAGCTCCCTTGCTCCTTCATCCACGTAAAGACACAATGAGAAGTCTGACCAGAAGAGGTCCCTACCTGACATGCTAGCACTGTGACCTCAGACTGCCAGCTTCCAGAACTGTGAGATACAGGTTTCTGTTATTTATAAGTCACTCACTCTGTGGTATTTTGCTACAGCAGTCCAAATGGACTAAGACAGTCTTGGAGGATTGGTACTGAATCTTTTTAATGTCATATTCTTAGTTACCATCACAATGCTTCTAACATACTGAAATATATTGTATTCACAACAAAGATGTGTGGATAAATAGAATGATCTGCTTATGAACAAACACTAAATAATGAAATGAATAATAAAAACATTTATAGAGTGCTTAATTCACACCAAGATTGTCCTAAGCACTTCAAATATATGAATTCATTTAATTGCTTCAAACCCTTAGTGGTGGCTGAACTACTATCCCCATTTTACAGATAAATAAAACGAGGAATAAAGAGGTCATGCTCCCACGGTCATAAACTCTACCTTGTGCAATTAAAGGAGCAGCATCCTGACTCCAAAGTTCATGACTTCAGTCAGTTTAATGTTAAAATAAAAACAACATATCCTATAAAAATCACTTTCTACAATCACTACCCATGTGACAGCTGCTCAATAAAGTCAAAGAGTCTGCTTATTGCACTTTTTACAAAAGACAAGCAAGAACAAGGGGAACTTTCAGGTTCTAATATTCTTATAAAGTATTAATTGCTACTCAGCAATATCTCACCATATTAAAAATATTAACTTCCAAACTCTGTAAGAAAAAAAAAGTCTAAAAATTTAGAGAAGAATAAAGCATGAAATACATTCCTTCTTTCATGAATTATTCACTTATTCATTTATACATTCAAATACTTAATGAATTCTATATGCCTAACACTAACCACTAGCCTCAATTCTTTTCTTCAACCTGAAGAATCTAGGAATAGCGATTTTAATATATTTTATACTAAAATTCCACTTCCAGAAGTACGGTTGAGTTTTCAGAAAGAAAAAAAAACATGCCTGTACACTTTCAACATGCTTTGTCTTATAATCAAACATAAACAATTACCTGTTTTGGTGATTATTTTTATATTACATATACTGAATTGCAAATGGCTAATGATTGTTTAAAAATACAGTATGTACTGCATATTTGTGTATAGCATTTAGAATCCTGGTGCATCTTGTGGTTAAAAAACAGTAGTTCTCTCTTCATTTTAACTTGCCACAGGCTAAAAAAAATGGTATTAAACAGGTGGATTATTGCCGATTATCTACCATAAAGTTCTAATTATATACTTCTACCTATATCTGACCAATTTTTAGCTTCTATATGCTCACATTTTATTAACCTAATGAAAAGATTTTCAGAATCAAGACAAATAGGATAAATAGAATCCACAAAAATAGGTTTCTAAACTCACCTAGGACTAGGAAACGCTGCCTATTCTGTCCTTCTTGAAGAGTCACTGTGCATATTTCTTTATTGATGGCTCCATGAAGTTCTCTCATAAAGAAATCAGTTTATGGGACTGGCCCCGTGGCCAAGTGGTTAAGTTCGAGTGCTCCGCTTTGGCAGCCCAGGGTTCGGATCCTGGGCGCGGACATAGCACTGCTCATCAGGCCATGTTGAGGCAGCGTCCCACATGCCACAACTAGAAGGACCCACAACTAAAATATACAACTATGTACTGGGGGGATTTGGGGAGGAAAAAACAAAAGAAGATTGGCAACAGTTGTTAGCTCAGGTGCCAATCTGAACAAAAAAAGAGAAATCAGTAAAATTTCTGTAACTTTGTGATTTCCCCATAATATCAATTAACAAACTGTGGAATGCACTTTGGGAAATGGTGAACTATTGGACTATTCACCAAGTTCAATAACGTTCCCCTTCTCTCCATTTTTGACTATACTCTGTAAACTGGAAAGGTGCATTTTAGCAAGTTAATTCTGTTTCATTATGCCTTGTAAATACATTTTTGTAGAATTTTATAGTTTATGCGACATACCTCAATAGAGTCTCAAAAAAATTCTTACGGCAGGAAAAGCAGGTTTTATCTTCTTCCTCACAAGAACAGTAAAGCTTACACTATTTGCTGAGGTCACACATAATTAATATACAGTGGCTTTTTTCCTAGTATTCCCTGCTCTGTTCATATCTTCTCCTCATTTGAAAGTTAACGTGAATATGGGGTGATGGGAAGGAAGGAGTGGTTCCCTAATACATGTCTGAAAAAGTTTTGTCTGATGTTACCAATGATATCTAATTTGCCAAGTACGAAATATTTACCAGTACAATACTTAATGATGATGTAAATGGAAGAGATTTTTATGAGGGTTAGCATCAACTAAAATTTTTCTATAAAATAGAAAAAGAGGGGCCTGCTCCATGGCCTGGTGGTTAAGTTCAGTGTGCTCTGACAGACAGGCCCAGGTTCGGTTCCTGGGCATGGACCTACACCACTCGGTGGCTGTCATACTGTGGTGGCGATCCACATATAAAAAAAAAAAAAAAATAGCGGAAGACTGGCACAGATGTTAGCTCAGAGAAAATCTTCCTCAGCAAAAACAAAAACAAAAAAACCAGAAAGAGAAAGACAGGAAGACACCAAACTCTTAACCCTCTATACCCACGTGTCTGTGTGGGGGTCCAAGGGACCTCAGAGGGGTTGGCTCTTGCTTCACTCCATTTTTGCTCCATTGTGCCTAGAGTTTAGAATAATTCTAGAGAAACTACTATGATCCCAGATCTCACCAGGAAGTTCTCCTCAGGAAAGAGAGTTTTGGTGGATTTTCCTAGGGATAGAGAAACCGAATGGAGATTCTCTTTTCTTAAGGAAAGTCTGGAGGGTTAAACGACAACGGCAACAACAAAACTCTCTCCCTTTAAATATACAAATGTCAAAAAAATATTCTGGCAAATAGCGGCACGGAAATGACTGTTTTAAGGGCTAGTCCCAATGCTGCTATAACTCTAACCTCTGGAGTGAGTTGGATCCGAAAGGATTCCATTGCAGTTCTATCCTTAAAAATGAAACTGAAGCTCACAGGCCTAGGCAAGGCTGGACCTAGGAGCTTTGGGGGCCCCAGCTGTGGACGACTGAAGGTACTCTGGCCTTCTACCAGCACAGATGCAAGACTGAACACACAAGTGTACATCAGAATTATGGGTTTTCTCTATGGTTCTATTGTCTTGATTTATATCTGTAAAATTGAAAACTTAAGTCCTATTTTTTTTCTTAAATACTTACAAGCTACCATATGAAGGCATTTTGTGATTGATTATCTTAAAAGAAACTTTCAAGAAATGCAATTATAGGAACCTAACAAATTACCTGAAGATGTGCTTTTGACTGGAAGAATTCGGGGTTTAGGTTTCATTTTAATTTTCTCTTTCTCAATTGCTTGACGTTTATTTTGAGATTCAGATAAGGGATTTATGACCACGTCTTCAGAACCAGCAGGTGCCACTTGCTCATCGTTTTTGATGGAGAATACTGGCTCATCTTTTGTTACGTCCCTGTTCAATTTTTTGGTTTTCAAAAAAGACCGTTTTGGAGAATTCTTTTCTTCATCATCTGATATATGGAAATCATTCATTTTTTTCTTAACTGAATTTTCATCTACTGAGGTGTCAGAAAAATCACCTAAGGAAACCGCAAAATGGAAGAGAAAAAACGTTTTCATTAGCATAGTTTAAAGTTTTGAAGGTTACACTAATGAAAAAGATTACCTTAAGGACTAGAAATGAATTTACAACCATGAATAGATGCATTTGTAAAATAGATCTGCAGCTCTGAAAAACAGCTGAGACAGTTTTTATTGGCTATTTATGAAATAAAAATTTCAATTTCATTAATTTATTCAAAACACACTTATTGAATGTGAGCACTGTGCCAAGCACTGCGCTTACTCGAGAAAAACCATCCAAAGGTTCATGAAAATAACCTTCAGCCATGCGACAGTTAAATAAGATTCTGGACTGTAAAGCTCTTATTTGCAAACTTCATTACATAACGTCAGGAACATTTGTAAATGGACGAATTTAACTAGTTATTTGCTAATTACATTTTTTTCTGTAAAAACTTTGGAACTACAACTCCATCCATACTAGAGTATTAGATTTTACTATGAAGGAATAATAAAGAACGCTAACTTAACTACATAGCAATGATTTAACTATTGTTCTGATTATTTTTACAGAGAATATTGAGTTATTCACTGAATATTAAAGCATAAAACACTGAATTTCAAGTTTAGAATTCTGCATTCTTACACCTGAAATCTAATATGTTAATATTTTTATATAATCCAAAGAAACTAAATGACCCATATCAGTACTAATAGACTGGGTTATTAAAACTGAGCCCCTATCACAGCCAAAAAATCTGATTCATAAAAAGCACTTTTTATAGAAAAGTGATTCTGATGTGCACCTAGTCTAGTTCTACGGGCCCCAGTTATTAACTTGCTGTAGGGTCTCATAGGGTTGATCCTAAAGATGAACTTCTTGTCTCCAATGTGGTTTCCCACTGACTAGCATCCTTTTACTGCAAAGCTGCTGTCAGTTAATGTACACATTCAGAAACAATCAAGGTCAATCATACAACTTTTAGAAAATTATAAGTGGCTTTCTACTCATTAAAAATTTGGAAATCAGGCTGGCCCTGTGGCATAGTACTTAAGCTCAGCTCAGTTAAGCTCAGTGAAGCTCCACTTCAGTAGCCTGGGTTTGCAGGTTCGGATCCAGGGTGTGGAACTACACCACTTGTCAGCCATGTTGTGGTGGTGACCCACATACAAAATAGAGGAAGACAGGAACAAATGTTAGCTCAGAGCTAATCTTCCTCAAGCAAAAAGAGAGGAAGAGTGGCAACAGATGTTAGCTCAGGGCAAACCTTCCTCAGCAAAAAACCCAAAAGTTGCAAATGTAAAGTCAGTGAATTCACAGGTATTATTTTAACCCAGTGATTTTTTTTGGAGGGATGGGTTAAATGTAACTAAGGAAACAGAAAGAAGAAAAGTGGTTTACTTTTCCATATTCTCACATACCAATCTCATCACTGTCAAAGTCATCAGAGTATTCGGAACTCCTTTGTCTGGCTGAACGAGCTGTAATTGCTTTTATTAGCTCATCCTGAAATGAGAGAACTAAAATCAATTTCCACCCAAATGTGGAGGCCTCATATTTAGGGTTAATTCTTTAAACAAATGCTTGATTAATAACTGCTTCCAAACTTAGGTTTCAATCATCTAACTAATACCCACCAAAAGCCTGGCTTATGCCATGCACCCAAGCCCTCAGACTCATCAGGGCAGAACATCACAGACAACATCCCTCTCCTCAGGGAGCTCACAATTAAATTGGAGGAGACAGACAATATCAAATAAATTAACTGAGGGGACTCAATTTAGAGAGATTTATTACAAACTGACATTTCAGAAGAAACTGCTACCTATTAAGATCTTTCGTTTCAACATATTGCAGTAACGGATCTCTTCAAAAATGCAAATTTAGAGGCTGAGTTCAAAATTATAGTCACTGGGTACAGAAAACTTAAATGTCATTAAGTTACAACAGAAAAAAAAAACACTTTATATGGAAATAGCAATTTAAAGTTGCAATTTAACTTGTAAAAGCTGATTTCACTTCTAACTTAGTAAGAACCTAGTATTGCAGCTAGTTTGATAGAAAGCCACACAGAAGAGCTGGTAATACTGGAGCTCAAACACCATCATCTACAAAATCTCAAAAGGAAGGCAAGATTTACTCCTGCTTGATAGAGACTGTTCCTAGAATCACTCAGGCCCAACACTCCTAATACAGTGTTTACCTTGCGAAATCATTCAAAATAAAAACGCTTTGAAATACTTTACCTGGAAAGTAGTTCTCTTGGTGACTTTTGGACTCTTTGTATATGCCAAAGTTGTGCTAAAAACTTCATCAGACATAGTGTTTTCGGTTTTTGTTTTAACTCTTTACCTTTATACAACGGCTAACAAGTGACAGGAATAATTTAACTTCTGATGGGAGCTGAAATATACAAAAAACAAATTAAACTTTTTTGCACGCTTGAGAATTTCTATTACTACACTTAGTGCCCCCCCAAAAAGCCAAACGAAAACAAGAAAAGCATCACATGAACACTGAGCTACATCTTCACTTAAAAATGTAAAGCGAGTTCTTGCAGAGAAATATAAAATTCTCCTGAGTTTGTTTTCAAAAAGAAATTTTAATTGAAGTTATCCTAAAATAATGCTGCAACTGCTTTACAGATGAGCAAATAAATGACCGCAATAGGTTAAAACAATAAAATGATGCCAATTCAATTAGAAACTGTATTTTTCACGTCTCTGCTATTCAAGAAGCATAACATTGCCTCGGAAGCAGTTATACTTACTCAAAAGGCTACCACGAGGATAGTCCGCATAAAAGATATAACTAAATGCACCACCAAAAAAAGGAAAAACATTGCTTGCGTACAGCGCTAGGAAAGAAAAAGATCATACTGCTAAACCACAAATGGTAATATTTTTTCCCAGTCACTCTTCCCTCTCACCAAAATGTTCATAGGACTAGATAAAACACAGCGAAGCCTCCGCGATGAGCTGCATTAAAAGCCCTGTGCCAAGGGGCCCGCGATCATCTCTTGCGCTCGGGGCGGAGGCCAGAGCCTCGGCCGCCCGCCGCAATGCACGCCCCGGGGCCGCTCCGGGCCTGGCCGGTGGCGCCCGGGTCGCCGCCCGCTCCGCATTGCGCCCGCCGAGGACCCGGCACTCTCAACCCCAAGCTCACCGGGCGCCGTCCCCGCCCCGTCCCTCCCCGACTCCCCGTCCCCTGCTCGGTACTCACCCCGCCACTCCTGCGGCGGACTCCCAGCGCCCGTGAGGACTGAACAGCTGGCCTTGGGCAGGAACCCCGCGCTCCGGCCTCGACCTGGCGGCCCCGGGAGACGCAGCCCGGGACTGCGCAATGGGCGGGACTAAAAACGGAGGTGGGAGGCGGTTGCTAGGAAACAGCGTCTCCGGGAGGGAGTGACTTCCCCACCGCCAGGTCTCTCAGGTACCCAACGCAGTGCTTCTGCCCAACGCGTCGCCCGGCAACCACCCAGACGAAGGAAATGACATCACCGTTCTGAGTCTGCGGAGACGGGTGCTTTATCGGCCGCCTGTGCTTCAGTTCTGGCCTGGGAGCCGGGACCCGGCCAGCACCGCCGGGGCGCCTGGAGCCTCTCGCTCTTCGGCCGAGTGAGCGTCTTTATCCGTAGAGGCCGCGTAAGCCAAAGCACAGTCATCGTTTTGCCACAGTTAAGACATGAAGTTCTGTGAACTGGAATATTGTACTGACAGATGGGACAGAATAGCGCGATAGCGACGTTTGCAGGCTCGGGAGTGAAACTGCACGTTTGGATCCTGGCGCCCCTTCTCTATACCCATGTGATGTGCAAGTTAACGTCTCTTTTGCCCTAGTTTCTTCTTCTGAATACAGAGAGATAATAATAGCAACCTTTAGGGTTGCTGTGAGTATTGAATGAAGTAATACAGGTGGAATACTTGCAAGAGTGCCTGGGACTGCAGTCAGTCAATAATAGATACGCTCTTTACGCAACTCAGCCGCAAAAGACCGGGACGGAAGTCGTCCCCTGTCGATATAGCTGAAAACCCATTCCAAGTGTTTCTGTAGTGTGAAGATTCTCTCTTTGTACACGCAGTGGATAATGTAGTTAAAATCAAACCAGTCAGCAGACAAAATGACCTAATAGCCCCCAAGATCGTGTGTTACTAAAGTCACCAAAATTAACATCATTTAATTAGTATAGGTAATCCTTAAAAAAATAGACAAAAACGCTTCTTTAAAGACTTTGAAATAACATGGATTTCTACTATTTTTAATTTAAAAGAAGCTTAATCTTAGCTAAATTGTCTGAATGAATTCATTGACTAGTAATTAAATTCGCTCCTGGTATTTTTCCCCATATCTCTAAAATTTATTAATTTTCACTTATTCGACAATTATTTATAAGCAAATCACATTGAGATATAAATTTAATAAGTCAAAATATTGAAGAACTATTGTGCGTAACAGGAAATGTGAAATTTTGTTGAAAATGTGCTTTTAACAATATTCGCAATGCAACTTTTTAAAACGTGTTCAGTGTATGCTCCACTTGCTGTTGATTGGAAAACTGTTTGATCAACATTTGCTAAATTTTGATGTTTTCAAACATTTTTGAGTCTCTGTATAAAAGAAAGATTTTCCATTCTCACCAGTTACTATCTTTCTGATCATATAAATTGTTAATCAACAAATATGATTCTGTCATAGTACCTGTGCCCAGAGTGAGAAGACAACAGCTATGTTTTCCTTATATGTGAAATACTCATTTACTCATGTTCAAATATTTATGTTTATTCAAAAAAATCTCTGTTCTATTCATTTTTTTCAATCACTTAACTAATATAGTTTTCCTTTAGATATGACTTAAGAAAATAGATTCAAAAAAGTTAATGAAAAAAGCCTTTAGTAGAAGATTCTGTCTTTTCTACAGAACCCACTATATTTTTATTTTCAACTTAATACAAAATAATTAATAAGTGATATCAAGTTATGCCTTACAAAGCTACAGTAAACAAAAACAGTTAACCTGAGCTAGTTAACTTCTCCACAAGACCTAAAGAATGGTCTTTCTACTATTCTCCTATCTTAAGCAGAAGAATATTAAATACTTTATTAATATTTTCAGGTAGCTTCAGTATAATATGTTACTAATAACATTGTATAATACCTGAATTAATAGTATGATTTTGTCTAATGTATAGTTTGCAATAAATATACAATTGCTGAATAAAAGAACTTGTGAATAAAAGAATAGAATTTTAAAGTGAAAAATGATTTCTGAAACATTCCAAAAGAAATTCACAGATGCTCACTTAAAAAAAAAAACACACACACAACATAAAATTTCAGTGACTTATGTAACATTTCCTGTTTGTTTTATTTTTCATTTTTCTAGTATATATTTGATCTCAGATCAAATTTTTGAGCAACCGTTTTCTGAGTTTAATCCCCTTTTCATTTCTCAACCTTGCCTTCACTCACTCATTCATTCATTCATTCGTTCGTTGAGTTCACCTATGTCAATAATATTCAGGGTCAAAGTTCACAAGATTGAAGGTAAATGAGATGAGATCCCTGCCTAAGGATTTTATAGACTAGAGATAGCTGGAAGGCTAAACAAATAATGACTACACATTTTGGTAATTTCTCTGTAGAAGTACAAAGTAAGAAGCTGTCAAGAGAGAGGGAAGAATTCTTCCTGGAGGCTCTAGAAAGTTTTCATAGAGAAAGTAAGTTTGAGTTGGTAAATGAGTTTAGGAAGGATAAGGAAGAAGATAAGGAAGAATCAGAAGTACACTTTAACCAGAGGAAATGGCCTAGCAATATTGAGCCTACCACAAGCATTGTGAGTTTAAGTGTTTGAGCAGAGAGATGCTAACGGTGCTCAGACTGTGCCGCCTAATGGGCATGAGAGGAGACTGAGAAGATCCGTTTCGATATCACAAAGCAACTGAGAAGTGACTCTTCTTCAGACGTTCCCTGCCCTCACCTCAGCAGGAAAATTGTTTATTGTCCTGTGACTGGCAGCACACTTAGAGACAAACAACCTTGTGCCCACAGGCAGCCCTGGTTGAAAAGATGAAGCATGTGTCTAGCATTTTGAGAAGTGCACTACGGAAGGCAAATCCCCACGGGTGTCAATTGATAACGACTATATTCACATTAAATGTTGAATGCTCAAGTCAGAAGAGAATGAGAGTAAGCACCCGGATACAAGTGCATTTACCAATACCAATGCCGACTTGTGGGATGAGAACAGCAGGAGACTTATTATAGAAGGGAGACATTGGAATCTTGAGGAAAGCCAACCATGACCAACTACACCGGTTAAAAGAGTTTATCAGCTCCTTGTGAACCATGGAATACTGGCCATTGTCAGTCAAATATAAAAGGTGTATTCTTTTGGGTTGTTACATAGAGATACATGAATTATTATACAGCAAGAGAAAAATGATTCTTCATTCAAACTCAGAACTTGTCATTCTGAACAAATTGTTTTTGCCTCAGAAAAATGTCTTCAGTTAAATGCTCCCTACAGATAGTCTTCTAGACAAAAATGCATGATGTGGGTGGACACTGTCTCTACTACCTATGTATTGCTAACTATACTGTATCTAGTATATTCTTCAACTGTACTCATTTAATTTAGTCTTTATAAAACTCTGTAAAATTGGTCCTTTGTGTCTACATTTACAGATGGGAAAAGGAAGCTATAGAAAAATTAATATTTTTCCCAAGATATTGCAGGTATTAATTGACAGAACCAGAATTTGAACCTGGGCAGGCTGACTCATAACCAGTGCTCTTAACTAACCCCTGTGGTAGGCCCCCCAAAGTCCATGTGCTAATCCCCAGAACCTGTGAATATGTTACCTTACACGTCAAAAAGGACTTTGCAGATATGACTAAATAATCTTAAAATGAGGAGATTATCCTGCATTATCTGGGTGAGCCCAATGCAACCACAGGGGCCCTTACAAGAGAGAGGCAGGAGAGTAAATCAGAAAGAAGATGTGATGACAATGGAAAGAGAGGTTGGAGTGATGCAGGCCCATGCACCAAAATCTGTGGGCAGACTCTTAGAAGCTGGAAAAGACCAGGAAAACACATTCTCCCCTAAAGCTTCCAGAAGATGCACAGCCCTAGTCACCCTTTTAGACTTTTGACCTCCAGAACTGTAAGAGAATAAATGTGTGTTGTTGTAAATTTGTGGTAATTTGCCATGGCAGTAATAGGAAATTAATACAACCTCTATGCCATATTTTTCTTTTCATATCCATGATATTTTCAGGCAAGTTTCTTCTTCTCAGAATGGAAAAAACTAGGCAGTATTTACATAATTCTATGTTGTTATGTCTTATTTCTGTTGGCGCCTGCTACACACTGCAGGACAGCAGGGACAATTATGACCTACTCTGGGGCTAAATGCTAGCGTCAGTGTGAAACATGGCTCCCTAGGACATTGACTAGATAATTAATAATTGCCTTGAAGTAATTGCTGTGGAATTCATATTTTAGTCCATAAGAAAATAGGAAAAACAAGAAAATATCATCACTTGACTATGCTTAAAAAAAGGTAATTTTGGGGGTCCAGCCTATTGGCGCAGTGGTTAAGTTCGCATGTTCTGCTTCGGTGGCCTGGGGTTCACCAGTTTGGATCCTGGGTGTGGATCTACGTACTGCTTATCAAGCCATGCTGTGGCAGGCATCCCACATATACAGTAGAGGAAGATGGGCATGGATGTTAGCTCAGGGCCAGTCTTCCTCAGCAAAAAGAGAGGGATTGGCAGCAGATGTTAGCTCAGGGTTCATCTTCCTCAAAAAGAAAAAAGTAATTTGGGCAGTTAGTTGAAGGATGAATTAGAGGCCAAAGAACTTAGAAGGAGGCAAGAAGGAAGATATCATCCAGGAAGCTACAGCATTTACTCAGGAGAGATGTGACATGTACATGAAATAAGGCAAAGGCAATGAAAATGGAAAAGAGTGGATACATTTAAAAAGTATTTTAAATAATGTGATTGAAAATTTAGCAAAAGGTGTGTGTGCTGGGGGAAGCAAAGAGGAAGGAAGGGCAATATGATGCTGGGTTTGGACTTGGTGAGTTTGAGATGTCTGCGACATATGGGAGTAGGTGTGAGGCTGAGATAATGAGGAGTGAATACAGAAGGGAATGGAGGCTGGTACCCTGGGGAACATCAACCCAGCATGGACAGGGGCTGTAGGAAGCATAGGAAGAGAAATGACTGCCACAGAAATCGGGAAAGAAACAAAGGAGGAGAATGGTTCATGAATAAGGTAGTGGCCAATGCTGCCTAATAGTCACATAGCTAGAGGTGGAAACTATGAGTTTGCATTTGTCAGTTAGGAGGCCACTGTGACCTGCACCATGCATAGGGGAGGGCAGTTTCAGGAAAGGGTGAGACACATGTGCTGGGACCTGCTCTTACCTTCTCAGGAGAGTCTATTGTGCACATTTAGTCCCAATTCTGTGTTCAGC